TTTTACTGCCAAATTACCTGTTTTACCGGTTTAAAAGAAATTTCACATGATGTTTCACTAAATTGTTATTTTAAATGATTTCACTACTTCTGTATAGAATGTTGTGTGCCTTAACGTGTTTTCTTACCTTCAGTCATTATTTATATTTATTACTCACTGGGTCGGAGTACTCACATTACTCCCTGCACCATGTGTGCAGGTACAGGTATTCCTGAGGCATAGAGCGAGTTTTCTGCTGTTCAGTTTTCATCGGAGTTATCGAGGTAGCTGCATGGCGTTCGCAGACCCGTTTTCTCCCTTATCTTCTGTTATTTATGATATCTTCAGACTTTGTTCCTAATTCCATACTTTGTAGAATTTTAGTAAACTCTGTAGTAGCTCATGACTTGTGACACCCCGGTTAGGGCTGAGTTGGGTTGGATTTTCCTTATTTTATCTATACTTTCTGCTATTGGATATTATTAAACTATGTTTATACTATAATTGTGTTAATTAATTATCTTAAAAGGATGAATTGGGTTGAATGGTTGGCCTTGTCTTCATGAGAGGCGCCATCACGACCAGGTTCGGGAATTGGGTCGTGACAAACAACAATGACAATAATACAAAGTATGACAAGTAAATCAACTCAAAAACTTAAAATCACAAAGAAACAGTAGAACTCATTCACAAGGAATAACGACAGTAAAGAATGCTAGGTGTAAAGGGAACAGCTCAACAAGGCAGGAACTAATATGCCATAACGATTCCACAATATACAGTTTGGCAACAAAGGAAATCTAACACGAGTCAAATAGTTCCAAATAAAGGCAAGTCAACTAAACATGGGATATCTGGACTTCTTTTAAGGTTGGGCAATTACGAAGAATATTCAACAATTCAATTATACATAGACAGTGGAAAGGTAATCATAACCTCAATTAAGACTAAATAATTATAGAAGGAGATGATGATAATTTCAACTAAAGATACGCATTTATGAAGAGATAGCAAGACAATAGAGAGGTAAAATTTTCAGTTAAGTCAAATAAGAGTCAAATAGGCAATAAGAGTGAATCCTAAAGTAATTAATTATAATTTAAGCAATTAGATGTGAAACCAGTAAATAGGAACTCATTCATATCAAGAACAACTTCATACACTGTAAATATAAGGACCTAAGAATCTTAAAAGGCTAACTATCGACAAATAAGTCCGGGGACGCACTCGTCACCTTGCGTACACGGATTACAATTAACATAGAAGACTCAAATCCTAAGGGGAAGTCCCCCACACAAGGTTAGACAAGATACTTACCTCAAAGACGACAAACCGATACTCTAAAATGAACTTCTCGGGTGAAAATACCTCCGGTTGGTTCAAATCTAACCAAAGTAACTTCAAGGCACAAATAAAACTCATAAGAAACTATTTTGTATCATAAAGTCTCAATCTTTAATAAAATCTAAAAATCAGTCAAAAAGTCGGCCCCCGAGCCTGCACCTCAGAACCCGACAAATTTTATAAAATTTGAATACCCATTCCGATACGAGTTCAACCATACAAAAATTATCAAATTTCGGTACCATTTTGTCCGTCAAATTATGATTTTTCATTTTAGAATTTTTTTTCAAAAACCAATATTTTTCTCAACCCAAAACACAAATTAAATGATAAAAATGAAGATAAAATCATGGAATATATTAAATAGTAGGTGAAGAACACTTACCCAATCGAATTGCTTGAAAAAACCATAATGAATTGCTCAAAACCGAGCTCTACAAGTCAAAATATGATCAAAATGGCCTATCTCTCGATTTGAAGATCTTATATTCTGCCCGGGTCCTTATGTATCGCGAACGCGGAAGAGGAATCGCGTTCGCAAAGAAGAAAAATGAAGCTGCCAAGAAAAACCTATCCCGAATGCGAATGAAGCGAGCGAACGCGAAGAAGAGAGAACGATAACCTACGCGAACGTGTAAGGGACACTCGAACACGAAGAGGAAAGTGATCACCAGCGCCCAGGGCCTGGTTCTGCTACGCAAACGCGAGATGGGGAATGCGAACGCGAAGAAGGAAGAGTCAGACCCTCACGAACATGAGAGGCTGAACGTGAATGCGAAGAAGAATCATGGGGCAGATCAACGGAACACTACGCGAACGCAGAAGATATTTCGCGATCGCGAAGAAGGATATCAAGACACCAGAAACCAGCAATCCAACAATAGAGGAAATTGGCCCATAGCCCATCCAAAACACAACCGAGGCCCGGGGGACCCCGTCTAAACACACAAACAAGTTCTATAACCTAACACGGACTCGCTCAGGGTCTCAAATCACATCAAACAATGTCGGAAATGCAAATCGCGCCATGAATCGTACTATGAACTTCCAAATTCTTTGAACTTCGAAAACTCGTGCCGAAACCAACCAAACCAACACGGAATGGCGCCAAATTTTGTAGACAATTCCCAAACATAACGGAGTTGTTCCAACTCTTGGAATCGCAGTCTGACCCCGATATCACAAAAGTCAACTATGGGTCAAACTTCTCTATTTTTCAAACTTCAATTTTTCCAACTTTCACCGAAATGCCTCATTTTACCCTACGAACCTCTAAATCCAAATCCGGACGCACACCTAAGTCCAAAATTACCATAAGAAGCTGTTGAGATCATCCAAAACCTATTCCGGAGCCATTTAATCAAAAGTCAAAATCCGATCAAATTCTCACCGCTTAAGCTTTCAAAACTAGAATCATTCTTCCAATTCGACTCTGAATCCTCCGGTAACTGAATTCAACCATGTACGCAAGTCGATACATATAATATGAAGTTGTTCAAGACCTTACGCCGCCGAACGGAGCTTAAATTCTCAAAATGACAGGTCGGGTCGTTACATAATAAATAAAAAAAATTGCATAAATAGGATACTTTATGGGATGGTCTTTAACTTTTGACCTTTCTTACCCATGGGCGGATCTTCAAGGTGAAAGTTAAAAGTGTTATCCATGGGACAAGCGAGGGGGCAACACTTGTTAAACTTGATGTACTGCCCATGGAACAAACATGAACAAAAATTCAAGATCATCCCTTAAAAGTTTTCAATTAAATTTAAATCATGTATCGACCTAACACGATTCTCAGGGATAGGATGCTATCGGCAGACTCTATCTAAGATCTTCCTATTATAGACAGATTCAAAATTTAAGTTTAATCTTTAAGATTCTTAACACTGAATTCATTGTACTTTTAAAATTATAATTTCATATCTAATATCTATTACAATTTTAATAAATTTTACATATATATCAATATTCCACGTCAAAAAAAGGCCTAAAGAAATTGAATTCAGATGAATCTGTAATCTGTGAGTTTCATCCGCCACTTGTCCTTATAGGGAGTACTATATTTCAGGAAAAACAAATGTGGGCATATTATTATAAATCACAGTATATCCATTGGTATATTTTATACTCCCTTTATTTTGTTTTGTTTGTCATAATTTAACTTGGCACAATTTTTAATAAAAATAAAAGATTTTTAAAATATGTGGTCTTTAAATATTTTATAATATTTTTTGTGATTATAAATTTTTGAAACTTATGGTTTAAAGATGTCATAGTATTTATGTGAGTATAAAAGCTTCTTATTAATGAAATATTAAAATATGTCCTTTTTTTAACAAAGGAAGTAGTATAAAACATGTTTCTGAAACTGTAATGGTGATTTGGAAATTGGAAACCAAACCTTATTATTATTATTATTATTATTATTATTATTATTATTATTATTATTATTATTATTATTATTATTATTATTATTATTATTGTTATTATAACTTAAGAGATTCATCTAATAGTTAAACTACACCGATTACTTCTCAAATCGGCTCAATATGTTTCTTATTAGCTTCTCTTTAACACTTTGCTAGTTTTAGAAAATGATCTCAATTGGTTCAATATGTTTCTTCTCTTTAACACTTCATTAGTTTTAGAAGACGTCAATAATCAAGTTCCTAAAATAATTATATTGCTTACATGTTAGAAGAAACTTGTTCAGTGACCAGTAAACGTGTAGTGACAAAATAACTAATTGACAATAGCATTTTCGGAAAAATGCTAAAAGGTATTAAAAACGTTAACGTTAACTACTTACTTCTTTCTGTTCATATTATTACTGACATAAATAGCAAGATTTAACTTTAATTCTCCACAACATGCATGTTAGTGATACACCAACAGATAAGAGAAATCTTTGCGGCAATAGAGCTAATGGATTGGTGCTTAATTATCATAAATGAATCGAAAAGTAAAAGATCTTTTTCCTCCTAACGAATAAAAAATCCTAATATTCCCAATTTAGATAGCGTGTTCGCGTTTACTTTCTATGACACTTTATCAAGGGTTAAATAATTTAATTTTCATACGTGACGGTAAATTTACCTGCATTAGATATTTACACCAAACTTATAAACACATGATGACATGTCTTCTAGTATAATTATGAGTAAAGCATAATTAATTTACAAATGCACATTTTCACCTTAAGTATATTTATCACTTAACACCCGATGCAAATATGTTTTTACCATATCTATGTCCAAAAATAAAAAAAACTGCCCATTATATTAGTTAGTAAAGAAAGGATGGAAAAAATAAAACTCCTTATAATTACCCCATTTCACGTTACCAAAATAACCTGTCGACGAGTCCCTTAAAATAGATTAATTAGTTGACGAGTCCCTTTTTTGTTTGTGTAGGGCTTATTGTTAATTGCCAATCCATCAAGGGTGTGTCATAATGTCAAAGTAACGTTTTCCATTTGCCTAGATTTTGCTTCTTGCTAAAAGAATTCTGAATTTTGAACTAAAGGATCGAAAGAATAAAATTTATTACAAAAGGTGCCAGGACTCGAGACTTTCCGTGAATTTTGTTATCTGTAGTTACTGGGTGTAAATTAGTTGTAAAATAAATGGCTAGTTAATAATGCAATTGCTCAAAAGCACATGGGAAAAGCCAATACATTTTTTATCAATATTTAAATATCTGAATTATGTTACTCTTCCCTGTCCAAATAGTGTCGTTTTAGCCAAATCAATTTGATCCAAAATAAGCATTAACAACTTTTTCAAATTTAGCCTCGCTCTAACCAATGATCTAAAAAATATGAGAGATAAAAGGTAATTTAAATCACAGTTTTTTTTTTAATTAGTGGATGTGCCAAACCTTAGATGACACTTATTTTGGATTGGAGAGAGTAATGTTCAACCTCTTTCATCACCATTCCACATGTCTTTAAACTTTGGGCCAGTTGGTCCTTGCTCACCCAAAACCTCATTTGGTAGGCTTCTCACAATTTTTTCAACAACCCTCTTCAATTTCCCAGGCATAAATCTCTCTATTTTGTTGAGCTCTTTTGATATATCATAGTTGATTTTAGGACCCCATTCCCTTGCATAATTTAGCCAAGGTGGCTCCACTATAGTTGAACCCAAGTATTCTGCACCAACTACTAAGAAATTTCCTCCTGTATCCATCAACTTCCCCTTTCCTGTATCATTTCTGATTCCTACATCTCCACTGCCTTGCAAATTCTGTCCTGGTTTCGGATAAGCAGCGTGTCCGTGCAACGATGAATACACCACAGGTTTGTTACCATTTTGAAATTCAAGCTGCGAAGCACTTATCCAAATGCCTCCACTGTGTTCCGAGAAGTATACGCCTTGTAACTCTCCATTGAAGTTGCTAATTCTCAATGTAACATGTTCCCAATCGCCAACGTGCTCTCCAATCTTTCCCAATGAAATAGTCATGAACTCGAGTTTGGCCTTTGCAGCGCCATTGAAAGGATAAAATAGCCACACAGCTATATCAGTATACGTTGCGCCAAACATTGGTTTAATGTGTAAGTAGGCTGTGGCACCCAGCAAATCTCCTCTCTTGACATTAGCTTTTGCTGCATTATCACTTGGGAGGTCCAACCAGTAAGCACCATCATTCGAACCACCTTGAGGAAGATTTGAACCGGTTAGCTGAATACCAACCGGTGAAGATTCTTGTCCTTTGGTGTATAATAATGCTCCATTCTGGAAAAACCAAGTTACTGATGAGGGGTAGAACTCTTCATCAGGATGAAAGTAAATCAATGGAGAGTATGCTTGAACCAAAGCTTTAACTTGGTTCAAATTTGGCATAGCAGATAACTTAGCTTTGACATTTTTTAAACAAGCTAGTGAGTCTGCAGCTCCATTGTTCTGAGCCATAAAAGCACCTGTTGACACTCCTAGAGCTTGTGTTCCACTGTCTCTAGGTCTTGAAGAGTACACATTCAAGCCATTGGTGCCCCAAATCCAATCATGACTTTCAGATACATCGGTAAGATCAGCACGAACACAACGGACTTTATCCAGAGAAGGCTTCTGAGGTGAGGTCGTGACAACATGGCCTATGGCTTTATAGCCCTCAGGAGGTATTGGCAGCCAGATATAGCCAACGCCATCCTGATTAATTTTCAAGTTCTGACTACTGCATACTAGCGCGTAATCAGTTGGCATCTTTAGGGCACCTCCTGATGTATCTTTTCCAGCAAGAATCCATCCAAAAAGGGGCATATTGTTAGGTTGGCTATAGGAACCAAGCATAAAGAATCCATTTGGTAAATTTGTTGGTTCAAAAAACGTAGCTCCAAGATTATCTGGTCCACCTTCATGGGTAGCCCAAACTTTAGTTAACAACGATACTTGGGACACAAGTAATCCTCCAAGATCAATGACTCCACTTGCAAAGCCTTCACCTGAAATTTCAGAAAAACTGGGTTTCGACATGAACTTCACTTAAAAAAAAGATTTGTGAAAGTTGATAAGTGTGAGCAGAAACCATTGTGAACTACTCCTCGAAGCAGTATTTTGAATATTTCACCAGCATCTCAAATACTGATGGTTTCAAATGCAAACTGAAGTATATTATTTGAAATAGTGAAAGAATATTGGATCGGCGACAAGAAACAAGTGATCATCGAATACTAATCAGGAGAAGATGGGTAGTAAAATGGAAGGAATACTAGCTATATGGACGAAGAGAAAATACCTGAAGGCCACCTGGGCAATGGAGAAGGAAGCTGAAAGTGAGTATCAATAGGGATTGACATGCTGTTCTTTCTTGAAGCATTATCCAGCAAAGAACTTGCATTTAAGTTGCTTCCCATGGTTGAATCTTTGAAGGGAAGACTTGAACAACTCATTTTTAAAGGAAGTGCTGAGACTAAAATAATGCAAGAGACAAAAAGCATATTCTGCAGACAATATTGTGAAGAGAGAATTAGACCCACATTAATTAGCTAAGACTATATATTAGTTAGTCGTGCAAGGGAGAGCTAAATCTGGTATGTAAGTAAAGTAACAATTTCCTAGTCTTGAAGAACTTATCTCATATGTCTAGACGATTTAAACAGTTTATCTGATTTGCTTTTGCAGTTGCAAATTATCATATTTAACAACCAAGAACGACATTGCATAGAAATGTTCTTTCTTTTTTTAAGGGAAAAAAACTTATTGCCTAGTCAAACATCGTCAAATAAAATGAAACGGAAGGAATGCTTTGTTTACAACCACGTAAATGTTTAGACGCGTAATCAGAATATGTTAGAAATATAAAAAAAGGTTGTGCGTTGTTACTAAAATCTTATTGTTTCACAAGGAGACTTGATATAGGTGGAACTATCTTCAAGCTAAGTTGTTAGATTGCTTCAAGCTAAATGTTTAATTTTTTTGTACGTCATGATTCTAGTTTATAAAGTTGCAGTGCAACGAAGCATGGAAGTCATGGGCCATTGACGGCAATAACAATAATCAAAGTATACATCTTCTTCTCTTTTTTCTTTAGTATAATATAATCACAATATACTTGCGTGTGGCTATATGCAATAACTTTTTAACAGATCTTTTGTAATAGATAACAGCTACAACCTTAACGGCATGAAATGGACACTTTGACACTTTTTTGTACTTCTCTCCGTCCCGTTTAATAAAACAACAATAACCCAGTAAAATTTTACAAATGGAATCTGGGAAGGATAGTGTATACTGTCATTCTCTCCTCGTATTATGATACTCTGTTAACTCTTACAATTATTTTCATTTGAAGTTATGTGAATTATCCCAATTTTACAAGGAAAGGCTAAAATAGTTCAAACTACACTAAGAGTTCTACTAATACTATTTCTCAAACTAAATTAAGAACTCCACTAATGATATTAATTAGATATATTTAGCAAAACATATTAAAAATTGGGGAAAATATTTTAAAAAGAAAAGTTTGATCTTAAGAAATTGAGGTCCCTAAGGATTTATTCTTTCCGTATGTGTTTGATTTGCTAGGCGAAAGCCAATTCCCCATGAAAGTATATTAAAGATCAGTAGATATTAGCAAATTGGATAATAATTCAATTAAAAAGTTGATTATTAATGTTGGTTGAAACAAATGATATAAAATTCAAAGTCAAGATAGTTGTGAGTAAAATAAGTTTCGTACACAAGCGAGGGAACTCTTTTTTTTCCTTTTTAAGCTGGTAAAAATGACTTATCATAAAAAAGTTGATTACGCATTCTTTTTTAGGTCATAGTTTTAGATTTTATCCCTTGTTTAAAAAATTGTGCAAATATAGCCCTTGAGAAATTACCCTAAGGAAATATAAAAAAATCATTTACTAAACAACTGCCACAAAAGATAATCTACACTAAATACCAATTCAATTCAAAAGAACTACCTGTTTTTACCCATCTTACATGTTACTTATTTCAATTTATACTTATTTCTCCCAAATTAATTACCCGGCCTTTTCATTATAACCACTATCATTACTAAACGCTAACCCTAGCATTCAAAGGAGAAGACTAGGACTTGCTTCATATTTCCTTATTTTCATCGTCTTCTCAAGAATAAATAAAAAAATCTATCTTTCTCATTTCATAATGGGATTTATGTGTCCATTGAACATTTTTCATCAATTCATTCTCCATTTTTGAATGGGATTAAGGTCAAAACCGTTACAAATTGAGGTCGAAATTCTAGATTTGAAGAAAAAAAATAAGATTTCATGTGTATGAGTTCAAAGTTTCAAGTCTGAATTTTCGTGTGCGTTTGAAGTTCTTTTGTTGTTGGAATTTGTTGAATGTTATTTTTTGATGCAGAAATTGTGTTATTAACTGGGTGGAAAATCTCTTTCTCTTGGGTAAGGCAGAAGTGTAGTTGTTGTTGTTAAGTATACTATTATCTTACCCAATATGGAAATTGTGTTAAAAATTTTAAGGCAATTTCAAAGAGATTTTAGACGTTAAACAAAAAAACATAAGATATCATTTTAATATATTTTATGCCATTTTAGTATACAATATATAATTCAGTAGTATACAGCATAATATAACAATATACTATTATAATTGGATCCCTTGTCAAATTTTTTGAAGTTTCCAACTAGGCTACTTTTTAAATTTTCAACAAAATTCTCATACTTCTTTAAAAAAAATTCTTAAATGAAATGTTTTGATGGAGTTCCACGTAGGTACTATTCACTGTATTACAAGTAGGTATAGGAATAGACATAAAATAGTAATATATATTTGATATATTTATATACGGTGCTAGTATACTACGAGTATTATATAAAATATTTCACAATAATATTAAGTAGAATTAGTTATTTTATTACACTGATATATTATTCTTGTTATACCACTATACGATTTGATATAATATCGCCAGAAATATTTGCAATACACACGTTTAGAACAGTAAAAAATAAAGATAAAAGGCATACTATACTTTATATACAGGAAAAAAAAAGTAAAAAAATATACTCTGACTTTTTTTTAATCAAATATAGAGGAAAAAATAAAAAAAGTATATTATATAAGTTATCTTTTTTATTGATATAGATAAAATAAAGACTAAATAAAAAAAGAAAAAGGAGCAAAAAAATGAATGAAATTAGAAAGAGAAAAAAAAAAGGAAAAAAATAAAAGAGAGAAAGAAAACAGAAAAGGAGAAAAAAATGGAAATAGAGAAGAAAGGGGGAAAAAAGAACGAAAAGAAAAAGATAGAAAAAAATATAAAGAAAGAAAAGAAAGAGGAGGGTCGAGGAGGAGTCAGAATTTCAAGCTTATGGGTTCGAGATTCTAATTGTTTTAAGTTAGTGAGTTCTAAATTAATAATTTATACATGTTCATAGGCTTTTAAGACAAATATATAGTTCAGATCAAAACTATCGGCAAACACTCTAGCTTCGCCCCTTGGGTGAGAGAGAATAGAATTAGATAGCTGATGTATGAGTTGGGGATTAAGACATGTATAATGGTAATTATTGAATGGGTAAGTTATTTCAACATTGTAAAAAGTCATAAAAGCCAATTTCCTCGATTCTTAATGGGTAGAGCAAGTGTAATTTATTTTGGCTTTTATAGGTATTTGCGAATCTATCCCAAAATTTTACCATAAAAGACGTTGTCCTAAAAAATTACTTTCGTGGTGTAGAGGCTAAAAGGGCCGAGCCCATTAATAACTTTACCGGGGCCCAAGCCCATTAACTGTCATTGGGCAGCAGCTTGCCCAGCCAATGCGAAAAATCGAATCTCCAGAAAACAGTGAAAGATAACATCATTGGTTCTTCCCTCAATTCTATGTACATTTCTCAATTCTATGTATTGGTAAACGCAATACAGAAAGAGGACAACTTCTGGCAATTTGGCGTGTTTCTGCGTTCATTGAGAAAGAACTTACTCTGTTCCACGTTTGTATCAAATCATAATAACGAAGTGATAAATTAGACTGATAATATGTCCATAAAATTAACCAGATTACATGATAAAAGTGTGTGTATATCATAATTTGATATTTGAGTGTGTGTATTCTTTTCTGTTCGAATAGAGAAAGAGAGGTCGGTTACCTTGAGAAGTAGGTGAGTGCGAGATTGAAGGCACAGTAGAGTAGAAAATGACGCCATTGTCACCGGCGAGATCCCTTCCGAAATTCACCGGATCTTTTTCTGCTTCTTCACAGAACAGCTCGACCGTGTCCTTCAACGCCACTAGGTAAATATCCACTACATTTACACTCTCAATCTTTTCGCATTGCAAAAATCTCCATGACTTTTTGGTGTTTAGATTGATAAGTTAATGAAGGATGGGGAGAAAATGGGTGTAGGTTTATACCTTTTTGTTTGTTTTTGGAAGCTGTGCAATACTTTAATCTAAAGCTGATTGGGGTAAGGTTTTGTTGCTTGTCATTTTCAGGTTATATTTGTATTAGTTGGGTGGCTGGATTCTGGCATAGATCATACTTTGTCTGCGAGTGCCATATTTATCTATATTACTTTAGTGCGTTGCCTTTTTAACCTCTTCTTAGGTAACTTATACTATAAAGTATTATTGCCATCCATTATTTTGCAACAATAAAGCGAGCCTCGGAGCGATAGTTAAGTTGTCTTTGTGTGACTTATAGTTCACGGGTTCAAACAGCGGAACCATTTACTGGTGCTTCCAGTAGGGTGGGCTATCTACATAACATTTCCTTGATTTGCGGCCCTTCTCCGAGCCCTATATGGACGTAGAATATTTTGTGCACCAAACTGCCCTATTTTATTTTGCTATCGGCACTTATGTTGGAATAGTGCGGTTCCATTTGTATAATCCATTAAGGAGTGAATTAGTAATACTCCATTATTATGATTAATTTTAGCCTAAATTAGCATAAGCAGTACACTGATTGGTTGATTGTACAAGAAAACATAATCACCGCCTAATTGCTGGATTTGAAATGCAATGATCAACCCATCAAATTTTCTTTGTGTAAACTCAAATATTGATTTCTCATTTTTCTTGAATTATAATTCATCCATTTCGAAATTATGTAAAATTACGGAAATTTCCAACAAATGATTAAGACATGCAAGTTTTTCAAGTACATTTAATGTACTACTCCTATCTTTTCCTGACGGCTTCGGTTCATACCAGACGGAATTACGGGGTCTTCTTCATAAACAAAAAGCAATAGCTATGATTTCCGCATCAAAATAAGGGGTCATTTGGTACGCGATCTAAAATATCCTAGGATTATAGTCCTGAGATTATAATCCCTAAACTAATTTAATCTCACCTTGGAGGTAGAATAAAATAATACCAAGTTTGATAGGATAAGGTGGGATAAGATGGGATATGCAGGATTAAGTCCGGGACTAAGTTTATATCATGTTTGGTTTGTGGTATTATTTTATCCCGGGATAAATTTATGCAATTCAACCAAACATGATATAAATTTAATATTATATTTTATCCTATCTTATTTCACCTTATCCCGCGTATCAAACGATCCCTAAAAATGTCCTAGTAGATGAATAAGTTGGGGAAGGTTAGATTTTCAAATAAAGCAAATGGTTAGTTGATCTAACATCATTAACATCAATGATATTGCAAATGACATCTTTGACTTTTCATTTTCCCATCCCCTAATCTCTAAAAGTGTCCCCAATCTAAAATATTATCAATATATGAGCTAAAGCATTATGTGTTCTAATTATTTTCTTGTTGATGCTTTGTCCATAGCTGTGGTAGCGGCGGTAAAATGGATTAAAAAATAATTATTCATATATATTATCCACTTAAATGGATAAAATTTGTAAAGATTCAAATTGGGGATCCTCAAGTTTGGAAGACTAATAATTATCCTAAAGGTGATCAATTAAATAACCTATAAATAATATGAATATCCGTCACTTAACCCATTTTCCATCCATATAAAATATGGATCCGATCGAATATTTCATTCGTTTTTATATTAACCCATTTTCGACCCACACATATCCGACTCAGACCCACTAGTTTGCCACCATAGATGTGGGTGGTGACAATAACATTAAATTGAGAAATTTCCCCTTGCTTTGGACTTGAATGGGTGCGTAGAGCTTGGCTAAGCTAGTTGCTAGCTCTGTAATATATGGGCCAGCGATAATACCAAAAGGAATTTTTACATTCCTATACATTATATGAAATTATATTGCCCTCCCTACTCAAGTTTTACTATAATTATATTTTATATACCCAATTATCATTTATGTACATTTTAAAGGAATTAATGATAATAATTAGTGTCCTAAAATTACTCTAACATATCTTCCACTCCCCCACGTTTCTCTCTCCACATCCCCACACCCTCCTCCACGTATCTTGCACCCAACCACGATTCCACCATTGACAACCATTAAAAAGTTTTGAAACTTTGAATTCGAATTTGGGTTTTCAAAAAATATTATTTGTTTGAATTGGATGTTGTTGCAAAGAATTGGGAATTCTCTCTATGTCTCTTTCTATCTCTCAATCCCTAATTTCAGTAATGTAAAGCAAAGAAAAAGAGAGCAACAATTTCACCATTGACAGCCATTAAAAAGCTTTGAAGCTTTGAATTCGAATTTGGGTTTTCAAAAATCATTATTTATTTGGATTGGGTGTTGTTGTAAACAATTGGGAATATGGTTTGGAGTTTATATCTCAATTTTAAGGGGTTTTGGTGAAGATTAGACTTGGTTTTGGCTGAATTTCAGATTGAAACTCAAAGAAGAAGAAGAAGAAAACGACATGATATACATTATATTTACAAAATTGTAGTAAAATTGTAGAAAAATTATATTTTGTTGTTTATATATTTTTCTTTTATTTATTTAACTATTGTATGAAAGTTGAACAACATTGTATAAAAATTATATTTAAGTTGTATGATATTGTAGTTGTATATAACTGAGTAGAAATAATATATGAAAATTGTAGATAAGTTGTATAATATATAATTAGTTGTATGAAATTTATTTTTACTATATATAAATCAGATATAAAATATACAAAAGACATATTGTATAAATTTTGCATAAAATTGGTATTTAAGTTGTATGTTATTGTAGTTGTATTTAACTGGGTAGAAATAATGTGTGAAAGTTGTAGATAAATTGTATAATATATAATTAGTTGTATGAAATTTATTTTTACTATGTATAAATTTTGTATAAAATTTGTATTTAAGTGGATAGTTGAATGTAATCTTGTAAGCCACAGTCAATCTGCAAAACTAAAACCGAGTACATGTAATATAGGTGTTTGCTTCTGGTGTTTCAGGTATTAGAACTACAAGTGTGCAAGTTGTCAGAGGATTTTGCTTATTGTGCAAGTTTATCAGGGTTTTTTTTGGGTAGTCGAATTTGTTCGTTTCTATGCAACTTTATTCACTTTTAGGGTTCTTTTGTCTTTTAATTATCTTCTCTTCTTTAACTTGAAATCTTAATCCATATACCGGAAAATTTTCAAATGCAAAGCCATAGCTAAGAGATTATTTTGTTAGTGAAGATAGTCCTGCTACATTAAAATCATACAGTCATGTTCAGAGTTGGATTATTAACATTTTGGAACAGGAGTCTGACTGGGGAGCCTTTAATCGCTGACATCCTTCCATTCATTGGCTTCTTCTTTTCTAGTGGTAGAGATATGCAGTTAAAAGACTGAACATCCGAGCTTGTAACGCTATACTAAAAATGCTGATTATTATCAGAAAAAGAGAAAAATATATGCAGTATGCAAATTTTAAATGAGTATCCAGTTATCTAAACAATTATGACCAAAATCAATTTGTGAGGCAAATGACTTGAGAGTAAATTTTGACATATCCAATTCAGTAACTTCAAATTCAGTAAGAAAAGTTTTTTCTCTGATAAACAAAAGAAAATCAATATGATTATTAATAGAAAATCTCTACTCCAAAAGTGTCTATGGAGTAGTTCTTTTCTACGATAAAGCAAAGAATGGAAAGAGCAAATTTGAAAGTCTAATTCTTCTGGTGGCTGGAGTTCCTCAGAAATTAGTTCCAAAAAAAAAAAAAGCAAAAAAAAATACTGATCAAAACTCAAAAAACCTTTCGTGGATAACAATGGACATGCGGAATAATTCTGGAAGTGATTCAAGGTGGAACTAAATCCCTTAATTGAAGGCACTAATAATGGATTGGGAGCCTTTTAAGGTGGAATGTATATATTTTGTAAACAAAACTTGTATAGGTAGGGTAATTTACTAAACATGAACATTTAGGGTAATAAAGTTTCCAATAGTGTATAGGAATGAAAAAATCTCATACCAAAATCTCCAACTGACACAACATTAGGAAAGAGAAGCAAAAGACCCAATTGTTAAGCAAACTCGATCAGCTAGATTATCAATCATCCTCCCTTCTGTTCATTTACATACAATGGCCACCAGCAGAGCAATGCCACAAACATTTGCGGATGTCTGCATTCCATATTAATGCTATTGAACTACAAAACTTATAATGGTTTTGCCACCTAAGATAACAAAAGAATATTATCGTCATTTACAATGCATCTATTGGGTTATACTCTAGAAATACAACCTTTAAAGTCTACCTTTTTTTTTTTGAAAAATCAGCTGAAGCTAATGCAGGGTTTCCCATAATATGCAGCATAACTCTAGTGCTTTACTAACCTCCCTAATAAATACTCTAACAGGTTTAATACCTACAGCCTGTTGCTACTCTATACATAGAGACAAGTCGGGCGACAACAGTTCCACCTCCGCAGAAGCGCACTCATTGTGTGGGATGATATCGAAGATTTTGCTCATAAAAGTTTATCAACTGCAAATGAAAGCAAATGGTAGTTCAATTAAAAAGAATAGAACATAAAACAGAAATAACAAATTACATTAACCTCCTCTTCAGGTTTACTACACTTAAAATGATCTTTTCCTCTAGTTTCTGACATTAATTCACAAACCAGTAGGTTAACATTTTTTTGTTAATGACCAACTAAGAAGTAAATATTTTTTATTTTGAATGAAATAAGATGCATCAAGGAACTGTGTTTAAGTGATGATATGTTAAGAGATCAGGTTGGTGTATTTTTAAAACAACAGAGGTCTCTTTAAAGTATGGGAATTATAGAGGGTCACTATAATAGTCCATAATGAAAATATAATATCACTGCATTTTATGATGAGGAAAGATTCGAAAGAGAAAAAGAAAAGCAGCTACCACAAGTGGATTATTCATCTTCAGAAACTTGTTATCCACCATAACTTCCTTTCCATCAGACCTGCAGGAAGCCATTACAAAATGCCATCATATAACCTATAAACTTATAAAAGATTCACCACAGTAATATTAAGCTGACAGATTGAACTAGACTATAAAGCTAGCGACAAGGTAAAAGCTGATGAGAATGGTCAAATCATTAGCAAAAAAAGACAAGTCAGGCATAAGCCCCCTCTCTCCAGTAAAAAAGAAAGACAAGAAAGAGAGGGGGATGTAATATAACAGATAACACCTATACGCATTACCCATCCAAGAAAACACCTACATGGACACATAATATTGCTGCAACACAATTAGACACAATTTTCACAAAAATCACATTAAGTTTCATACTTTAATCCTTACTGTTGCAACAACAGAAATTTCAAAGACTACATTGTCCCTCTTAAAATATCAGTCACGGTTCATTGACGCATTACTTGTGAAATTCTCTTTTTATTTTATTTCGTCCATTTCCATAAATATGCCTACGTGGTTCTCCCGCTTATTATTATCATATAAATTATTTTTTTTTGACAAGGTAAAAGTTTATTTATAAGGTACCAAGATAGTACAAAATGGTACAAGAAACATCCCAAATGACAACATCAACAAGCTATCTCCCCCCTCCTAACACCTCCAGAAAGTCCGAATATTGATTCAGATTTCCTAACTGACTACTTTTACACCAAAAATATAGATTATGGAGACATATATTCTTAATTCTAATAATATGATTCCTATGTCCTTCAAAGCAAGCATCGTTTCTTTCCAGCCATAAGGTCCATAGAATGCACAACGGAATGGTTCTCCACATCTGTTTTAGCCTTCTAGGTACTCTTTGAGGTTTCCGCTTCTAACAAACCCCTGACAGTAAGAAATACCAGATGCTGAAAAATAGATCCCAGCATTGCCTAGATACTCTACAATAAAGGAGGAGATGATTCACTGATTCTTGTTCTTCTTCACAAAGGTAACACCTATTGCATAGACTGAAGCCTCTTTTCTGCAAATTGTCCTGAGTCAAAGAGGCTCCCGAGGTTGCTAACCACTCAAAGCATGCTACCTTAACTGGAACTCTGGTTATTCAAATCATCTTCCAAGGCCAGTTATTATCTCTATGACTTGACTGCTCTATCAACCTGTTGTAACAACTCTGGCTCTCCCTAGTCCCTATTACATTCTTGCTCTTCCATAATGGCTTCCACAACACATTCAAGAATGATACTGGTCGTTGCCCTGTACCTAAAGTTTAGTCTACCAGCATTTCTACTTAAACCCTACATCCTCCACACAAAAGTTGCTTAACATGAAAATTATTCCAGTTTGTGGAATGGGAAAAAAAATGTGATACACTACCCAGCATAAATTTTAGTTTGCAAAGAGTAGGATTCACTAGGTTATATAGTTAACCTAGGTAAAAACCTTTTTTTTATGGTAATGTAGTTCAAAACCTTCAACAAAATAGTATCAAATCACTTCTTATTATCATCAAGTAAATAACTTCAAAGGTTTTTACAGAATAAAGCACTAACAAAAGATTTTTGGAGTTACAATTCCATTAAGGAGAGTCAGATTTAGATAAACTAATTGTCACAAAATTGTAAAAGAAAATGGGTGTCGTGTGTGTTAACCTTGGTTAAAATAGTATAAATTCTCTTTAAAATATAGATGAAGATATGATTTACGAATTTTCTTTTTATCCAAAATAAAGGTTCTTCCACAAAGAAGCACTAGCAAAAAATTATGAACCACGGTTTAATAAGTTGAGTCTAGTTAGAAAAAAATTAGTCTAGCTAAATTGTAAACCAAAGGGATATAAATGAATTGCTAGTGTATTGTGTTTAGAATGGCCAAATTCAATTTACTACTCCCTAGGGGTCATGTTAAAGTAACTCTGGTCCAAACACTAACAACCAAAGCAGCATAGACAGTTTCAACTTTACCACGATAACCAACTTCACTAGAAATTACAGTTTATCATTACCAGGTCAAGGAGCAAGCCCAAGAACAATATTAGTTGCTTCTACGCAAGTTTTGTTAATTTGTTAATAACAAGCTAGATTAGGGAGATGCTATGCTCTTCATGGATAAAGTTTACACCAGGAGGATAGAGTAGTTTCCACAGAGGATTGGTCTTCAATTTGGATAGTTAAACAGACTGCAAAAGTTGACTAGAGGTGCGTTGTTAGATGAGGTGAAGAGCAAAGTCCAGTGGTGGATATTGCTAGAAATAATAAAGATAGAGATACGCAGGGCAAGTTCTATTTAGCGACAATTTGGACTGAATAAATTGGTGACTTTCGCCTGATACAATCCCAAGAGTTAGCTCATGGGACGAGGATTACCCAAAGAGCATATGAGGAGGGCAGAAGCTCATTACCTCAACCAAAACACCGTTGCACCGCCCAAAACTGAACATCTGGATAACTTAAGGGCCCAAACATTTGATAAACCAAGATAGGCATAGGACTAGCTCTAATACCATGTTAAAAAATAACAATGAGTCTAACTCAACCCAAAAAGCTATCTCATGAGGTGAGCATTGACCAAGACCATATCAGGAGACAAAATCCTATTCCCTCAACTAATGTGGGACACTTAAAAAAGATGGCTAGAGACGGTTAAGGCAATGTCACAGACATTAAGGCAATGTTAGAAGGAAATAGCAAAGGAACCAGATGGACAGCATTCCCTTATATCTTGAAACTTGGTTATAAGTTGTAGTAGCATTGATGAGAGTGCAAGGCATTAAGCAAGTGAGTGAATTTTAAAGATATTCATTTATTGGTATAATTGAAGGAAAGTCCTTTCAACAATTATACTTATTTTCACATTACTAAAGTAGTAAACATACTAAAATCGAGTACAAATATATTAATTTATTCAAACTTTCACTTCTTAATCTCTAAGCAACACCAAACAAGCTCAAATTTTACCAGGATAAAGGGAGTAACTCAGTAACTGATGAATGTTCCAAAACTCAACAAGCTAAAACCAAAAAGAAAGGTCACCTAGAGAAATCAAATGGGTAAATGATAGTCCATCATTTTCTCTCCCTTTCCAAGTCAAAGACCTATCTTAGGGTAGCCCGGTGCACTAAGCTCCTGCTATGCGCGGGTCCGGGGAAGGGCCGGATCACAGGGTCTATTGTACGCAGTCTTACCCTGCATTTTTGTAAGAGGCTGTTTCCACGGGTTGAACCCTTGACCTCCTAGTCACATGGCAGCAACTTTATCAGTTACGCCAAGGCTCCCTTTCTCAAAGACCTATCTCAGATCCTGATTAAATAATCTCTCTACAGAGACTGTTCCTTTTCCTTAGATTAAAGGTTTCAGCACATCCTTCAAAGTGTATACGAAAAGCAGTTCTGTTAAAGAGGTTCACCCACTGGAGTCCAACCGACATATTCTGTTCCAAAGAAGAAAAGACAGAACTTTGCACTACCATTGATGGAAGAAACAATGGACACCAAACAAGACAATGCATGTGATAAAACAGAAAAAAAGCCAGTTAATTCCAATACATGGCATCCAAAAAATATGTTACATCCAAGAATAACTGAGGTAGTTTGGATAAGTGAGTAAGGAACAAATTTAGTGCACAGCAAGCATCTTTTGTTCATTTGAAAGAAGTTCATTATTTTTACTGTACCTTTTTTCCTTTCTGAAGACATTAATTTCACTATACTTAAGGAAAGCTCATATTCTTTGCAACTAAGTAAAAACAAGTGTAGAAGTCACAGACCTCTTAGCTAAAAAGGTCACGGACACATCCTGAAAATCACTCGATACAGATGCCGAATAGCTCATAGGCTTTATAATTTCTGTTATGGCACAGGCATCTTTGGAATCATCCCACTTATTTTTGCAACCCAAAGCATTGCCCACAAATCCATGATTGTGAATTCCTTCCTTCGTGAATGCAACAAAAGGGCCACTAGTAGCATTTGGTAAAGCATCTTGGGAATCATTCATTACACCTGAGGCAGTTTCCGGTTTAAACCTCCGAACAGAAGCAGGCTTCCTCCTTTTAGCTCCGGTACAACGACCAGATTGAAGTGATTCTGTTCCATTGGCTGCTGAAAATCCACTTGTAAGGCCATCACCAGATCTATCCACAGATGTCTCTTTTGTTGCTATCCCTCCCTTTAATTCACTAAGCTTTAAATCCAATTCATTTTTCTCATTAATTTCTTTTATAGAGGAATCAAAATTCAAATCATTGTCGTTCGCCACTCCGTCCACTTGGATATCATTCAAACCACTACCACTACTATCCACATGATTAATAGCATCCAAGCTAGCCAGAGGAGATGAGGGCATAGGTTCCTCCATTATGCTAACCTTCACTGCAGGCACATCATTTGTAGCAGCTGCAGGGGAACACTGCTGCTGCTGCTGCTGCTTTTTTATTTGAGTGTGAGTAACCCCATGCTGCCGCTTACGCTTACGTGCCAATCGTTGTTTCCCTGACCGCAAGCTTCAAAAAGAAAAACAAAGCACAACAAAAGAATGAAAAAGAGCCGAAAAATCAATATTCCCATTATTCTATTAAACCAACTCAGCTAACTACTATACTCAGGTAAGTGCAATGGACAAAAAATGCACACCTCTCTTCAAATGCGTCAATAACATCATAGCATGTCATTAGATTCTCCACAGGTTCCCATGTGTTTGCACTCTCCGGCCAGCCTCGCCTGTATACAACAGAAGCTTATCCTTCAATCTAACAAAATTCATGGTACAACAATTCAAAAATGGAAAATGGGAAGGAAAGCAAACAACTTTATATATCTATTCCATAGTAAACTTACCATTTGATTAGATACTGAACTTTGCCCTTTGTTTTCCACAGCATTTTCAAGATTCCCAAATTCATACAACCACAAAATTAAATAAGGATAAAAAAGGTAACGAAAAAAGAGAAAACTCGTTTGACTCCAGAATGAAACTAACCTTTCGAACCCTCTTTCTCCACACATCCTCAATCTCATAAAAGCCTTCAGCAAGCTTTGGTTTTTCCACATCAGCTAATTCCTCTTCTTCGAGTTTCTCTTCATACTCCTTTCCCACATCTTCATCCTCTTCGCCAGCATCCCCATCTCTTTCTTGCTGCTCAGCTTGTGAGGCACCGGTGGATGGCTGCTCAGAACTGACACCATTGTCGCCGGCGACGGCGTCGGAGTTCTGTTTCCCTCCTTTCATCTCTCTCTCTCTCTCTCTCTCTAAGTTTGTTTTCAGCTTGCAGTCTTCTGTGTGAAAGGACTGTTGTAAGAAACAAAAAAAAGGTATGAAGTCCTTTTCTTTTGACAGATAATTTCTAGCTTTTGTATTTATTTGTTACTCCCTCCGTCCTAATTTTAAGGGTATGTTTCCAAAAACAAAATAAAAAAATAAATAAAAATTGAAAACTTATGTATAATTATATGTAGGGGTGTCAATGGTTCGGTTCGGTCGGTTATTTTATAAAATTTGTACCATACTAATTTTTTGGTTATTCTATTATGCATAACCAAAATTAGAATTTTCGAAACCGTCTCAATCATATCGGTTTCACTTCGGTATTGGTACGGTTCGATTAATTTTTGGTATTTTTTTAAATGTCATGTAAAATTCACTAGTAAAAGTAGAATGCAATAACATGCTTTCTGTTATACGACTTAGCAAAACTCTCTAGGCATTTTGATGGTTTAAAAGTTGATGAATTAAAAAACATGAAAAGATATAAATTACACGAGTGAAAAGATATTATCCAAGACATGACTCAAGAATAAAGTCTATATTAAATATTAGAAAAGATCAATCTAAATTATATGAAGGAAAACATATTCAATACATTATAGTTTGCTACTCATAATCGCTAGAATACTTTGTATCTTGCTAATAAAGATACTTTAAATAAATTAGTTTAAGTATAAGTAGGATAATAGGTTTTAGGAACTAGTATTTTGAGTTTAATTACTTGTTGGCTTGTAACAGGTTTTATAATTCCAAGGCCCAATGAAAAATTTAATGCTTTATTAGTTTTAAGCTTACTATATAAATATATTTTTCATATGTAAAATTTATTTGGTACGGTTTGGTATTTTTACGGTTTATTTTTATAAAATAAAAAACTACCCTAATTATCGGTACGGTTATAGATTTATATAAAAACCTACGGTTTCTTTAAAAGAAACCCAAAAATCGGTTCGGTCGGTTTAGCCGATTTTTAAATATTTATTGACACCCCTAATTATATGGCATTGTAATTACATATTTGGTAATTCTATAGTATAGTAATTACAACAACTTGTTTGCTTGTCGAAATATTATTAAATTATAATTTTCAGTGTCATGTATGGTTAGACAAGTATAATTACCTAACTAAATAAATTTTTTTAGATTAACATGTGAACAAGTTTTATTATGTGATAAATATATATATATATATATATATATNAAATTTATTAAAGTAATTTTAAATTGTTAAATAATATTATAAAAATAATTGATATCTTCCAAATAAGAAATCTTGTTACTAAATTAATTATAAAAAATTTAATAACCAATCTAATCTTTTACCAACTCATGTAGATATAAGAAAGCTAGTTATGAGCTTAAGAAATACTTTTTATAACAAATATTTATACTAATAATCGAAACAAAATTTAGTAAAATACAAAGTAAGCAAACTCTAATGTATGACAAATATTTAAATATTATTTTTAAATGATAATATTAACTCAAATTAATGGAAAGCAAAAATAGCAAAGTACGTAAATGTTTTTAGGAAGGAAGCTCAAATTGAGAAAAAAGTGTTTAATAAAAAGAAAAAAATTAAAGAAATAAAGATGGAAGAAGGAGCGTGACCGACGTTTATTCGCGTCGGAATGAGTATGAAAGAGAAAGAGTGTTATTTTTTAACATATTCAATAAAGAAAAAATTAAGTTTGAAAATTCACCATGTAATTACACCAGATAATTACCATTAATTCTCGCATCCCTTTGAGAATTGAAGAGTATATGTTGCGGAAGCCAAATGTATATAGTGTGAATAAGTCACAATTATTATACCAAAAATTATGACAGCCACCAAATAATAAATAAGACAATAAAGCAACAATAAAGGGAACACCAGAATTTACGAGGTTCGGCTAATTTTGCTTACTCCTCGGACACAACCAATATTTTATTTCACTCCAAAAATACAAGTGAAATAATACTAAAGAGAGAAGATACAAATGTCTTAAACAGATGAGAAGGCAAATGAGAGGTGTGTTTAAATCCTAAACATTAAGCCTTCTTTTATAGGGGGAAAATCCCCCCAAC